ACACGTTTTAAGAATACATAGTAAAATTTTTGAATAAAAAAATTAAATATTTTTTAATTTATCGTCGATCTCCAACGGCGCGACAAAAAAGGCCCTTCACTGCTGCAGTGATTCCGGCCTTCTACATGGATGAAATTAAAAAAAAAAAATATCGTTAAACTAAATAATATTGTCTGTAAAATGAACTACGATAAAGAAAATAGATCAAAAATTGACAAAATGACGGCGTTTTTTTTTTAAAAAAGTCGAATTTTACCCAAAATTTTGGTCGTTTTAGGACTGCCAAAATTCGATTTTTTATACGATCGAAAAATCGATAGTTCATTTTACGGAGAACTATATATAGAACATGTAAAAAAAAAATTGATAGTGATCGGATCATTTGTTTTTGAGTAATCGCTGCAGCAAATTCGGAAAATGCTGTTTCGAGAAAAACTAGTTCAAAGATTAAATGATCGTTATACTATATACTATACGATCGAAAAATCGATAGTTCATTTTACGAGAATTAAAAAAAAAATATCGTTAAACTAAATAATATTGTCTGTAAAATGAACTACGATAAAGAAAATAGATCAAAAATTGACAAAATGACGGCGTTTTTTTTTTAAAAAAGTCGAATTTTACCCAAAATTTTGGTCGTTTTAGGACTGCCAAAATTCGATTTTTTATACGATCGAAAAATCGATAGTTCATTTTACGGAGAACTATATATAGAACATGTAAAAAAAAATTGATAGTGATCGGATCATTTTTTTTGAGTAATCGCTGCAGCAAATTCGGAAAATGCTGTTCGAGAAAAAAAACTACTTCATCAATCATTTCAAAATTTTAGGAATATATTTATACATGTTTTAAGAATACATAGTACATAGTAATACAAAAATAAATATTTTTTAATTTATCGTCGATATCCAACGGCGCCACAAAAAAGGCCCTTCACTGCTGCAGTGATTCCGGCCTTCTACGTGGATGAAATTTAAAAAAAAAAATATCGTTAAACTAGATAATATTGTCTGTAAAATGAACTACGATAAAGAAAATAAATCAAAAATTGACAAAATGACGGCGTTTTTTTTTAAAAAAAGTCGAATTTTACCCAAAATTTTGGTCGTTTTAGGACTGCCAAAATTCGATTTTTTATCCGATCGAAAAATCGATAGTTCGTTTTACGGAGAACTATATATAGAACATGTAAAAAAAATTGATAGTGATCGGATCATTTGTTTTTGAGTAATCGCTGCAGCAAATTCGGAAAATGCTGTTTCAAGAAAAACTAGTTCAAAGATTAAATGATCGTTATACTATATACTATATACTATATTATACTATATACTATATACTATATTATACTATATACTATATATATAATTTTTAAATGGCTGTAGCTCAAAAACTATTTAAGATATCGATTTAAAATTTTAGTATGTTATTTTTAAAGGTATAACCTATAAAAATATGGAAAAATGAAAATTCGATTTTTTGAAAATTTCACCCTATTTGTGCCCCTTAAACTTTCATGCTGCAAAGCGCTAATTTGAACCACAAAATAATTAAAAAACATACATAGACGAATTGGATTATTAAATAATCAGATTATGTTAGGTGCGTCTGAAAACACAAATGTACTTTAAGAACAAACATGAAAATTTCGGGAAATTTTTTTCGACCTTAAACTCGTTCACCAACTATTTTTGATACGATAGAGATGGGCCTAAAGGTGACCCCCACCGAAATCTCGAAAACAAGTAAGGTTAAGAATTTTTTAACAAGATTTGAAAGTAGAGGGAAAAAGATGTATAACCAGCCGTCACCTCTATTGTTACGTACTTGCTATCGGCCTATGTGGTAAAAAGGACCAAATTTTTATACCAAAACAGTATAAAAAACATTTCTAAAATAATTAGCTGAGAACAGAGTCAGATAGTTGTCTGTTTGATATGTGTTATTTGTTATGCTATAATAGGTTCAATAGGTTTAGTTTTCACAATATAATTGCTCTTATCATATTGCATTTTTTTTTTTTTTGAATAATGATAAAAAATATATTTAGTTCTCTTCCTGTGTCATAAGACGTTAATTTCTTACGTAAAAGATAACATCGACGACATATGGAACTAAAAATAACTATGCTATAAGATAAATGATGCTCGAAAATTATACAAATTATAAGTGAATTTTTTATTAAAATTGATATCCTTTAATTAGTGTTTGAATTTTTAAAACTTATCAAAAAATGTACCCAACATCTAATTACAAAATACAATAAAATATAAAATAATTTATATAAAAGTTTTTAAAAATCGGATAAAGCTAGAAACTAGTTAATTTGAAAAATCGTTTTAGCTCATGTTTCCACAAAACTGATAAAAATCAATATCGATGCAGCATTTTTTAAACTTTTCACAATAGAACTTCGTTGTACAAGTAAAACCGTCAAATTATGGGTACTTCACGCTTTCTGAGTCATCTTTCACTTTCTAAACAATACCACAATCAAAGCGTCTCTTCCAGAATATTTAAACAAAATTTTAATATCAAAATTAATTGATCGATTAATATCTATCATATATTATGCAAGTGCCCAAATTTAAAAATATAAGAACAAATTGTAGTGCACGAAAGATTTGTAGCTCGTTAAAATATTTGTTATAATCAATATTATCTTATTTCAGAGTGGTACTGTTAGAACAAGAATACACGCAATAATTTCTTTAATTCACACGTAAATGTAATGTAAGCATATTTCGTTTGTCAATATATGTTCTCAAATTAAGTATAATTGTATATTTACCATGATAGTTCTTGAGTTGTAATAAATCATCATTAACCAAAAATGTGACATCGTATTTGTTTGATTAAGGAACGTTTAATTTGAATTACGTGTCGTGAGTTCTTTATAGATTCTTTAATACATATTGACAAAGGGGTGTCTGAAAGAAAAACGAATTATAATTATCTCTTTATACAATTTATTTGAAATAGTTTGTGTGTTACTGTATTTATGCAATGGGATGTTTTGTTTAATTAAAGATAATAACCATTTCGATAAAAAAAGACCAAGAGGCAGGGGTATGAAGAATCATCGGCAAAAGTCGGTCCAGCCGTTTTGGAGTTACAGATCAAAAAATGCAGAAAATAGAAATCGAGTTTTTGAGAGAACTGAGCATCCGATTCGAATGATCCGGAAAACATTTAAGTCGTAATGAAGGGGAGAAGCGGTGATTAGTTTTTGGCAAAGGCGGATCCAGCAGTTTCGTAGATACGGAGCAAAATGTGCAAAAAATGGCAGTTTTTGAGAAAAATAAGCATCCGATTTGAATGATTCAAAAAAGTTTCTGCTTGTGTTGACAAAACGATTGTTTCAAGAAAAAAAACTGTTTTTTTTAATTTCCACAAGAAATTTTTTTAGATATCGAAAATAATTCAGATTTTCAAAATTTCAATTCGGTATGGTATTCGGTACGGTATTCTCGGTACTTGCAAAGTTATAGACTTACCTATTTAAGTTATTTTATTCAACTCGGTAATTCGTGCGTTAATTGTAATATTAACATTATATTAAATATAATCTTAGCCTTACAATCAGATTTTTTGTAGCAAGCGCTTTTGAATATTAGAGTTGAAATGTAGGTCTCAATATGACATTAATCATTATATATATATATATATATATATATATATATATATATATATATTCTATACATGATGATAAAAAATCGCATTAATCATCATATATGTAATAATGTTATATCTAAGGCGCGTTATCTCTTCGTGAAAAATGAATTGCCCCATGCATGAAATTGGTGATGCGAAAAACATTTTTTACGTATGTAATGAAGCTGCCATGACATATGAAGATTTTAAATCAAACTCAATACGATATTTTTGAAGAGCACTTTCACAAAAATAATATGCACTCATATGCGCAACTTCGAAATTCAAAACTCTAACAATAAGACATCTTTCAAATAATTGTACTTCTACTAATTATGTTACTAGTATTACTTTTTATGCAATTTTATTTTTCATTTTCGCATTACCTACACACACACAGACACACATATATATATATATATATATATATATATATATAATAAATGGTACTCTGCCCGAAGGCAGGTTCATGGCGCGAGTGCCAGCACAAGTAAATAATTCCCTAACCCTTCCATTCCTTTTTACACCTTTTTTTATTTGTTTTATTCGAATATAAGTGAAAAGGTCTTTCACCATTATCTCCAAAACAAGTAAAGTATAGAATTTTATACTATTAGTAAAATGAAAGAGATGTGTAATGAGCTATTACCTTTATTCTTATGACATGTTTGAATATTTGAGGTGATTTATTTACTTTATAAATTATGATACTTGAATATATTTTTTAAGTATATCTTATTTAATTGTTTTATAATGTGCATTGTTATTTTTAAGTTATATTCAATAGATTTATTTATATAATTTCTATAAAAGCTTGCATGTGGCTGGGATAAAAAGAACCATCTAAACATTTACATTAGCAAAGATATAAACAATTAAAGTATGAGTAAAGGTTATAAACACTAGCAAAGATATACACAATTAAGTTAAAAAAAGCAATTTTATAAGAGATAAATTAAATTAAAAGTTATTCGATCTCTGTTGACGAATATTTTTCGCGAAATACTATATCAAGGGTGTAATACTTGTAAAAAATTTGCTCATGAAATTCATATTTCGCCTCCGGTAAATAATTTAGCAAGTTAAAACATTGGATCTGTTTACCTTCATCATCCTGCCTCTGGGTAAAATGGCAGGATGACCAATTTCTATAATTATAAATTAACTGAAAATTTAACTGAACATAGTTCCGTAGTTGTTTATTTGATACGTGTTATACGTTGAGATGTAGTCATAGACCTTATACATATTTATTATAGGATCTATTGATGTAGTTCATTTACTACTCGTATTTGTATACTCTTCATAAGAAAAGCACATTACATATCTTTATTTTTTTCAAGGGCGTCCTAAAGGCCAGCATTCTGCTCCACGAGGAGGACCACCACGATCATGGACCAACGCAGAACTTACCGAAGCATTGCAACATGTATGGAATAAAAAAATGACAACTAGCCAGGCGTCCAGAATATTTGGAATTCCATACAACTCCCTGCTGATGTATGTCCGTGGAAAATATGGCAAAAGTCTTAAGCTCGAACAACTCAGAAAAGATTGTATAGGCGGACCTCCTTTAGAATTACTGACTATGACAGGTGAGCAAAGCATTATTCGATATATTTCTTAAATAAAATTGTATTATAAAATTTGTTTGTATTACTATAAAAAACTGCAGTAAATATATAGAGTATAAGCGCGGATACGGATAAGCAGCAAGCTCTAAGAATGAATTTTGAAATAAACTAGCTGTAAGTGGAATTCTGTCTTAAGGCAATTAAGGCATCGTGCCTTAAGGCAAATTGCTGGAACTTCTCGTACCAAAAATTAATATTTTTTTAAAAGCGATTAACATTTTTGAAAAAATTTTACTTCTAAAAAATTAGATTTTTGAGAAACAAAAAAAAAATGTTCGAAAAAAAAAACTTTCTTTATTTTGGCATAGTTTGGAAATTCTGAACTTTTTTTCAAAACAATCGTACTTCTTTAACTGCATAGAGACGAAATGTCAAAGCGCGTAAGCGCCGCGTTGCCGTCTAACGGATAAACATTGATACGGAACCCATAGGAATGTAAACAAAATTCATACTTATTGTATGAAATCTCTATAAAATGTTAATCTCTATAAAATATCTGATAATTTGATGTGCATATGTCTAATGATCATTTTTGACCGCCAAATGGCTTTTTGTTTTACTTTTTTCATTAGATCTCCGAAACCGCTAGACCTGCCTTCATGAAAATTTGATCAATTCTTCATCTTACAAGTGAAATGTTTTTTGAATTTTTAAAATCGGACGCTCCGTTCTCTTAAAAACCGTGTTACCGTTTTTGGCACTTTTTGCCTCGTATCTTAGGAACGGCTAGACCTGCCTCCACCAAACTAATCAGCACGTCTTCTTATCAGTACGAATCGAATATTTTTCAAATTATTTAAATCGGTTAATCGGTGTTCTCGAAATCGTCGACGAAATTTTGTATCCGAACACACACACACGCACACATCCATTTTTTCTAAGGTATGCCAAAATATTCAGAAACCTTTGAAACGTCGAGAAATGCAAAAATTTTTATTTTCGATTTTTTGCGATTACTATAACTTACCCTACGCAAAGTTAATAAAAACTAGTTCTTAGTGACATTTTGCCTTAAGGCAAGTTGTATCAACTTCCCGAAATTTGTAATAATTGACTAAACCAACTTGATTAAGTCAATTAAGTCTAACAATTGAGAATTGAGAAATTGAAATTCAGGTATTTAGATAAAATTTTCAGCTGTTTATTTCGAAAATGATATTTTCGCGTTCAATTGAAAATAAAAATTGCGATTTCCAATTGAATTTTCTTGACACATTTAAATTATCTGTAATTCTATTAATTATATTGCACAAACACGTGCTTCCTAAAATTGTAGCTTATTAAAAGAATTTTAAAGAATTGACGATGTTTGACTCATCACATCACAAAAGCAACTTTTGACTATAATATTTTTTAAAATTTTTAGAATTACATGACTTGTCGTAGGGCCAAAAAAAAATTAATAAAAATTGACGATTTTTTTAACAGTTAATTACAAGGATATGTGCCAGCGGATCTCTACCAAAAACTAATCAGTATCTTTCCCAACCAATATCTTTCGAACAGTTTCTAAATTTAAAAAATCGATTCAGAAAAAAAAAGAAAAATTTTTCACTTTTCTGCTATTTATAAAGAAACGGTTTGGCTCATCGTCGCGCTAAATCCAAAATCAGCCGTTTTTGAGATTGAGGAAACGTCGACGAAAGGTCAAAAATCTGTTCACACACACACACATATACTTTTTCCAAATTTGGTCTCATTCCATTCAGGATGGCTTGAAACATCGAGAAAACATCAAATTAGCAAATCGGATTTTCTGACGAAAACGTAAACTTCTCCTTCGGAAAGTTAAAAAACCCTTGAAAATTGACTGTTGAAATGTTTTATTTTGCTTCAACTTACGTAAGAATAATTTTTTATCATTTGCATTAGGTAATAATAACAACAACGGAGGAAAGGGACCCAAGGAGGAACCTGGACAATGCCCAAGACCGCCAAGTTCTGAACCGGAAGCCCTGTGTAGTCCTGGTCCCATGTTCAACCCGTTTTCGACGGGTTTCTACCCGGAGTTTGTAGGCGGTCCCGGTTTCCCCGGATTGCCTCTGAGCATGCTGCACCTAATACCTCCAAACGCGAACGACCGAATGTTGCAGTCTGGTCGCGAGCCATTGCCTGGTCTCGATTACACGATTAAGAACGACGAGTTCAGCAAAGGCAGCGAAATGGAAGTCGAGAACTATTCCTCCCTGGCCCTGTCGCGCGACGACAGGCACGAGCGGCACGAGCGGCACGAGAGGCACGAGAGGCACGAGCTCGTCCAGCACAACGGTCAGGACTAGATTTAAAATGTTACTTTTTCCCTTAATCGCACATTCGTCTGAACTAAACACGCAGCACACGAGGCGCCTTTTTCTTTGGCCCATCATTTAGTACTGCAGATTATATTTAGTCCAGCGTATGTGCGATTTCGGTATTAGCGAGAAACAGAAATTGTTTTCTTTTGTAGATGGATATATTCCAACAAAACAATATAATCGCGATTGCAAAGTATACGGGTGGTTATTAAGGCGATCGTTCTGTGTGATGTACCTTTATAATAGCTATATTATTAATCGGGGCAATATTTAGAATTTAAGTCTGTAGGTTTATACAAATTTAAGAATGTTTTAAATGATAGAAAATGCGTTTATTTGAGACATATGATTGGAGTGATGTATTTTTTATAAGCATTAGACTTGCGGATATCATTTTCGCTATTAAAAATATATTAATGATTTTGTTATGTTTTGATTTCTAAATTTACATCTATTAAATGTGGATTATAAAATATACTCAAACAAATTTTGCGCATTTGAGACTTTTCATGTAAAAACCTTTACTCACATAAAAGCATTTAATTTTATTTACATACACAAAAAAATAACAGGGTATATACATATTATAAATATTATGACAATATATTAATATATAAAAACAATTTGCAGCAACATTAACTTATATTCGACAATAACTGATGCGCATATTTTATTTATTATCATCACCATAAATTAACAATTCAGACACCTTCGTGCAATGAAAGCAGTGAAGATTATTTATCCACGTAGATCTTATTTAATAACATTAACAACATAAATTCTAGTATCAATGTCTTCTTGCTGGTTAGTATGGAGTTCTTGAATAACGTTGCAAAAATTAACAACGCAAACTTCATAATTCAAATGTCAAAATTGTTTTGCATAATCGTTGTTTGGTTTCTCCATTTCCAATTTTATTTATATAACTCATTTCTTAAAATATATATGAAAAGCTCATTACCTATATTGCATCGTGTTGATCCAAGTAGTTAACCTTTTTATTTCATATAAATGATATATAAATAAATTTTGTCATTCGTACTCATTGAGTCGAACTCTTAAGTATAATACGAAATAAGTTATACTTAGACACTTGAAATAGGTCGCCTATTTGGCAGCATTTGTTCTTATGCATACTTATTCACGATTTCCGCATATCTTGTAAGATATTTGTTACGTTGCTGGATTTTCTCTATAACTAATTATTAATTTGGCTGGGATATTTTCGTCCCCAAATATCTCAAATGCGATGTTCATGTTAATATTTGTTATTTTTCTTATAGATATAATATTTTTAAGTTTAATTTATTATATAATATAATTATTGTTAAATACCTACCTACATATAAACATATTATATCACAAAAGACTGAAAATTATAATTTAATCTCAAGCATTTAAAATGAATACTCATTAATTTATTATATATACAATTATATCAGATTCTCTCTTAGAACCTAACAAGATAATTATTTTTTATTTTAAATAGAATAAATTTTAAGTTAAGTATTATATAATTTTGCAATGAATAGTGTGCCGTTGCGTCATTAGACCTCACGTGGATTAACAAAAACACACATCTATGTGATCGCGCTACAAATTTATTATTATCTGGGAAAATATGGCATATGTAGGTATCAACAACAATTTTTATTGCTTTTCAATATAGCACAAATTATTAAAATTTTAGTACGGTTGTACAAAACTGTCAAAACTGAACTGATGTAAATCATTCCATACTCAAATTGGAAATTATTGTTAGAAGTACATATTTTAATTTTGAATGAGTCAGTAGTGAAATTCGTAGGTACGTAGAACTTGAACTTAGTTGGTATTTTATGAATTTTCAGTGAGTTCGAACTTATTTGTTGCATTCCATATAAATTTTATACGTGATTAGTGAATTAAAATACATATTGTAATTTACATAATGTTATGAAATTTAATATATCTGTGAACAATCAAGCGCGTTCGTTTTATGTGTAATAAAGACATACTTATCATAGATTAAATAATAAATTAAACTTAACAAAAGATAAAATAATTTAATTAATAAATTAAATAAATTTATATAGATATGCACACATAATAACGTGTGTGCAAACAATTTGAATACGTGCATCTGTACATTTGTATGTATTATATATTAACTATAGAATGTTTTTAGAAGTGCAATATAAGAGAATATATTTAATAATGATGCAATTTATTGATTTTTTTCTTGATATTATACTATGATATTGTGGAACAACAGGAGTTGAATTTAAATATTTGAAACATTCTATAGATATGTTAGAAATTATATCTGCGAATATAAGATATTTTTTATTTTCCAAATTTAACAAATTTTAACAATAAATTATTAGGATAGATTTACGAAATAATAAAATGATCTGAACATTGAGAGTTCAAGGGGTCTAAAGTCAATTAAAAAATCAATATTTGCAATATTATCGAATTCGGGCACATACATCACGTGTAACTCGTATATATATATATATATATATATATATATATATATATATATGAATATTTGTGTATGTATATATGCACAATGATAAACAGTTATTATAATTACATAACTTGTAATTGTGTATACTTTCCATAACCCACTTGTACAAATAATGTTATAAAATTTTCTACATAGATCTATTAGTATCTTCAAACAATTTTTCTTTGAAAATGATGATTACCTATTGTTGTTTATTATTATCATTATTGTATAATTATTATTAAGAAAACTGAGCTATTTTATTTGGAATACACCTGTTTATAAAACATTTCATACTGAACAAGCGCAAATGCTTAATGAATGAGCCACACAGGGAGAAATGATTTCGCCGTCGACAAAATCATATATATTAAATTAAATTAAAAATCAAATATTTCCACATTTAGTACATAAAATTGATAAATTACAATTAACTCGTTCCACGTTCCCGTTTCGAGTGTGACCTATCTCATTCATCCCTGTGCATTATATAATTCAATCCCAGAAAGGTTATTGCCGTTTATTAACATTTTATACTTTTCAAAAAACTTAATATTTAAATATCAAACTAAACAAATTAACTGAAAAGTTCGTAATAACATCAGGGTATACAAATTTTCATACTGTCAAGTATTTAAAATAATAAATTTATAAATAACATTTATGAATCTATCTCTAATAATATTAATGTCCCACTAAATATATGAAATGAAATCAATTTTGATAAACACGAGAAAAATTTCAATTATGTATATTTTTGAAAACTATTTATTTGTAGGGCGAAGGTAAAACATATTTCTACTTTAAAATAATATTCCTGAAATTCAGATCTTAACTCAAAATCAAATATTAAAATGAATATATTTCTCATTCAATATATGTAGCCTTCATAACTTTTTAACACACACACACATATATATGTGTGTGTGTGTGTTTAAAATGTAAACTTAAAAACATAACTTAATTACCTCACAGACAATTTTTAAAATGTTTTTGTGGGCACCGTTTTTGTGATTTGTGAATATTTATCGGGAAAAGTATACAAATGGACGAACAAATCTATTTTAGCAATTAAATAATTGTCTGTTAGCTAATAAGTAAGTTATTTATTTACAACACACACACACACACACATATATATATATATATATATATATATATATATATATATATATATATATATAAAGCGAGAGGTTCTTCTTCAGATGGTGAAATAATATGATAAATTTATTTCTTGGGCATCCACCCATTAATTAAAAACAGTTTTATTGAAGGAAAATGTTTTTATTCAGAGAACATACGTTTCGGGTCTTGATTGGACCCATCTTCAGTGCATACAAATAAATTTGAAAAGAAAAATACAAAAACACACGAAATTGCACGAATTTGAATTTTTTTCAAATTTATTTGTATGCACTGAAGATGAGTCAAATCAAGAGCCGAAACGTATGTTCTCTGAATAAAAACATTTTCCTTCAATAAAACTGTTTTTAATTTCTGGATGGATGCCCAAGAAACAATTTTATCATATATATATATATATATATATATATATATCCAATATTATATATATATATATATATATATATATATAATATTGGAGCGGTTCGATTTGTATTCGTCATAAAAAGTCGCTTAGACACATATGATTTTCGGATACTAGGGATCAAAATAAGATACTTCGCTGAAGAAACCATACCTCTAAAAGGAATTCTGATGTCCTGTGCTTGGCCCAAAAATAAGAGTTAAAATTCGAAATTTTCCATTTTGACCCATTTAGAGTGCCCCAATTGTGTCCAAAAGTATGGCCGACCCCCACTAACTTTGGAAGGTCGATCCGCTGGGACCCCCACTGAGAGGTTATTCAACATTTAACCCTTATCTTTCGGTCAATGCAGACATCAGAACTCATTTTAGAGGTATGGTTTCTTCAGCAAAGTATCTTATTTTTATCCCTAAAATCCGAAAATCATATGTGTCTACGTGGTTTTTAAATCCTTAAATCGACCCGCCCTAATATATATATATATATATATATATATATATATATATATATATAGCTACAAATACATTGGCAAATTGGTGAAAGTAAAATAAATCTTCGTTAAGTAGAAGTGTCAATCAATGAAAAAGATACCCGAATAATAACAGGAAGCAATATATTACACTATATTGCTAAATTGAAAAGAACAAATATATATATATATATATATATATATATATATATATACATATATATATATATATATAGAACGTGTAGGTATATCATGCAAATGTGTGTCATGATTTGTTAGTTGTAAAAACTCCACTTCCCAAAAAAAAACTTCCACAAGTTAAACATAAATGAAATTAATAATAAAAAGTTTACGTATGTTCATTCTTATATTTTAAAATATCTCTAAAATATTTTAATTTGTATGTATTTTAAGGAATATGAAAAAGTATGTATATAGGCAACAATGTACATATAATTTATATCAAATCAGACAAAAAGTGTAAAACAAATTTCTAATAGAAAAAAATAAATATTTGGTCGTAACTTTGAAAATGTAAAAAATATTGTGAGACTCACATTATAAATTGAATAAAGATGTTATTGATAATTCTATCATTTTGCTTTCATTTAATATATAGTTTCAATTTTTTTTCTTAAGCGAATATTGATTTTATAATTACTGTATTAAATTGCTATAACACTATTTTCAAGATAATTGAGAAATATTTCTTTAAGAATAAATTATATTCTGTAATATAATTTTAGTTACTGT